CCGGGGGGCTGCAGGGCCATCTGCCCCTCTCCCAGGTGCTGGCAATGGCTCATTTCCCTCCCGGCCCTGCCTCGACCGTCTGCTGCCGGCGCCTCCCCTGCCACGGTGTGCGGGTTATTCCACTCTAATTCCCTCCGCTGCCTGCCACGGGATGGGTATTTTTATCCTGGCACCAGGCTCTGGCAGAGTATCTCCCCTGCTTTTTTGGCTGCGTGGTGTTTCTTCCACCTCCCAAATTCAGGGGGAGTGTCTACACAGTGCAGATCCTGGCGGGAGCTCAGCGTGATCAGGGATGCTCCGCTGTGCCTTCTTCGCCCAGCATCTACCTCCGCATCCACTACTGCTCATCCAGCCTCCAGCACCCCATTGCACTGTCCCAGCCCAGCCATACCTCCCTCTCACTGCTGGAGCACTGGGAATGAGGCTTTTCCTGACTAAACCTGGAAGTGTGACAGGTACTGCATGTGCCGTGGGTGTCATGAGTTTGAGCAGTACTCAGCGAGGACTGATCGAGTCAAACACGAGCAAGAATCAATCACCTTCAAGGACAGACATCCTCAGTATCCTGCCACTCCTCAGGGCTCTGACAACCCCAACATCCAGATCATATTTCCGGGAGTCACTTATCCAGGGTGCTGAGGTCTACCTGTCCTGCAAAACAGGGGATTTGTCACAAAATCTACTGGATTTCAAGGGAATGTAATTTATTGTCTTTAATAAACACTAATTTTGGTTTCTCCACCTCCTCTGCTCTCAGGTTTTTGTCTTGAGCCCTAAGAGGGTCCCCAGGGGTCATTGAGGGGGACTGGGGACCCTCATCCCTGTCTCTGTAGGAGCAGAGCTGGGGTGTCCCCTCCTCTGCTCCAGCAGTGCCCTCCCTCCCTGTGCTCCCTGGGGACACGAGGCAGCCAAAGCAAGGTTTGACCTTGTTTTCACTTCCCATCCTTTTATTTTTTGTGTGCGTGGAAAACACGGAGCAGAACAACACGAGCCGTTGTTACGTAAAATCCCCTGTGCTCCAATAGGTTTTTGTGGCGGGCGAGGAAGGGCTGGGCTGAGCTGGGAGACAAGGCAGAAGGGCTGGAGCAAACGATGGGGGGAATTTTGGGGGCATATTTTGAGCTGTGATCCCAGCCAAGCTCCTCCAGACACTGCCTCCCCCCTTAGCTCCTGCCCCTGTGCCGGCTGCTCCATGCCCAAGCCGGTGCAGAGCTTTCCAGGCAGATGCAACAAGGCATTTTTATATCTTTTTGTTATTATTATACCGGGCTGAGATTATATCCTGAGGCTTTTAAAGCGCTTTCCAAGCCCGTGTCCTCCCCCAGCCCGTGGCTGCACCGGCTGGATGCGGCAGCCGGCGCGGATAATCACGTCTGCCTTTACGCTCGGCCGACGCCGCGGCCGATTCCGGAGCCTTTGGAAGAGGGATGAGGCTCCGGATGCTCCCCCTGGGGTGATGGAGCTCAGGGCACTCTGGCTTTGTGTCGGGGTGGATGTGAGACACCTGCATCAGGGCTTTTCGGCGGAGCACTGCCCAAATGTCACTGCCTGAATGTCACTGCCTGGGCTGGAGGGAAGGTGGCACGGAGTGAGCAGTCCCCAGCCTGGCAGTGTGGCCTCTGTCACGCTCAGGTCTCATCCCTGCCATCATCCAGTCCTTCCAAAGGACTCTTCCAGCCCTCATGGGGTGGCTCTCGAGGCCAGATTGTCACCCAGGGGATGGCAGATGGGTTGTCACCCTGGTGGTGCCAGCCTGTGGGTTGATGTGAGTTCAGGCACTCAATGGGTTGGGGAGAGCTGGGTCAGTGTGTGGAGCCAGCCCTGGGCTTTCCCGGTGCTCTTTAATCGGGATTAATCCCAATAGCTGGAGCAGCAGTAGTGGGATGGATGGGGCCATCCATTCCCGCAGCAGCTCGCAGGGAGGTTTAATTGCCTGCAAAAGGAAGGGAGATCCCTCAGCCTTCCATGGCAGTTCATTTGTTTCAGCACTTTAGCAATTGTTCATTTAATGCTTTATCCATCAGGGTAATCCCATGCTCATCCCATGCTCACCAGCAGAAAGGAGGGAGATCCTATGGTCGGGTGGGAAGGGCAGGAGTTTTAGCCATGAAATTTATGTTATTTGATCAATAAAACTGATGTAATTTTATCAATAAAAGTCTCCACTCTTGGCATCCATCCTGGTTTGTTTGGACAAATCCATCCCAATCCTGGCCCCATAGGTGAGAGAATTATACAGAGAATGTAGATGAGGAAAAATACACTTTCTGCTTTAATCCACACTAATTCTTTGCTTTAAGTTTTTTTAGTCTGTGGGTTGATGCCTGGAGTGGTTGTATGGTGTGAAGGCAGCCAGGATACTCAGGGATCCAGTGGCAAGGAATGCTGGATACTGGGATGCATCTCGATGGGCAGGGAAAAGGCAGGAGAGGGATTGCCTGCACCTGCTCCCTCTATCCCGACCTCTCCTTCCTGTTAGAGCACCGGGACAGCGGCGGGAGCAGGGATGCAGGCTCGGAGCATCCTCGGATCTCCCGATGCTTTGCCGGGAATGCTTCCCTGGGAATGCTTTGCTGAGGCTTAACACGTCGCGCGGAGCCGGGCGGGGGGGAGCGCGTGCTGCTTGGCTTTTCACATGCCTGGGGGTCATGGTGCCTCCTAAAATAAACCCGCTGAGCTTCACGCGGCATTTGCGTGGCGGCACGTGGGCAGGGAGAGAGCACCGAGCGGAGCCCAAGGGTCGGGGATGGGGCTGAGGGGAAGGAGGGGCAGCAGAAAAGGGCGAGGGAGAGGATCCTGACGGGTTGTGGGTGGGATGAACCGAAGGGCTGAACCCCCTAACCCATGGTCCTGCGTTTCAGGTGGGATCCCACGGGATGTTTATTGATCCCGCCTTGCCATCAGCCCGGGATTTAAACACCAAGGGCTCGGTCTGTGCCTGCTCCCTGCTATCCCTTTCCTGGTGGGGGATTAGATCAGCTTGGGCTGAGCTTCATCAGGTATGATCTCTTTTCAGAGCTAAAGCTGCTCCTGCCAATCTTCGCTCTCATTTCTCCCCAGCTCCCAAAGCTGTGTGGGGCTGGATGCAGGATTTGATGGGGGCAGGTGTCCCCAGAGCTGCTGATGGGTGTCCTGGTCCCATGAGCTTGGTGGTTGTGAGGATGTGTGTCCCCATGGGCAGAGCATCATGTCTGAGCCACCTCTGTCTGTCCTGCCAGAGGTGTCTGCACTCTCAGGGATGGGTACCAGGACTTTCCCAGGACTACCTGGCCCTGGCCCAGGGGACTGGGGACAACAGAAAGGAACCCCCTCTCCCCTCAGCCCCAGCCATGGTCTGATCCAGCATCCTTGTAATAATAGCCTTAATAACAATGATAATTAATAACAATAATATCAGCTTCCCAGCACCCTCTCCTGTGCTTTCCTGGATGACCCACCTCCTCCACAAAACAGATCGCAGTTACTCAGCTCCCTTGGGATTTGGAGCGATAAATTCCCAGCCCATGCCAAGTTTTTCCAGGAAGCCTCACCACGGGAGCTCACTGCCTGCTCTGTCAGGCTGGAGCTGCTCCAACTGGGTGTCACACCTGTACTTATCATGGGCTTGTCCCTGGACAGGCACATCCTTGCTCGGAGCAGCACCATGGACATCCCACAGTGTCCATGAGACTGAGTGTTCTGAAGGTTTTATATTAAAATTACCAAAAATCTGTGGAAAATAGGAATTTTGTTCGCTTTTAAACTCAACTCCTGACAATGAGCTGCTCATAGCATCCATTTGGTCCCAAATGTGACCACAACCAGGAGTGATGCTTTCTTCAGGATGCTGCTGCCAGGGAATTCTCCCTTGAGCTCTCATCCCTGCCCTGGAAATGGGCACCCCAAGACCTTGGTCAGGAAAACAGTGCTCGAGGAGAGAAATAAATGCATAGACATCTCCTGGTATTTATTCCACCGGTTATAACAGTACCATGGCACGGGGACAGCACAGGAGGTGGAGGGACACTCAAGCGAGCACAGAACACAACCACAGCACGACGGAGGGGGATAAGGAAGAAGACATTGTCCCATATCACTTTGTTCTTCTCCTGGAAGGAACAAGGACAGGAGCAGATCCCACCCTAGTAGAGGGAGGATGTACACCACTGCTCCAGGGAAGGGCTGGTGTGGACTCAGCTGAGCACCAGCGAGAGCTTTTATTCCTCTCTGGTGTTGATTCAGGCTTCAGCCTTCTGGTCCTCAGCACTCCTCTTCCCACAGGGAGAAATGGGATCAGATAGCAGGTCAGATAGCAGGTCGTTCCTGGCTGGCTCCTTTAGAGGGGCCCTCAAGGGCAGAGGGGTTGGTGTTCCTTGCATGGACAGGATGTTATTTCTCGTGTGATGGGTACGGGACGCTGGGAGGAGGGTTGTTCTGCACCGTGCCTCGTCCTTGTGAAGCAAGTCAGAGTCTCCCAGTCATTGCCAGGAGGTTGGGTGGAAATGTGGAGGCAGAGACACGGTGTGTGGCCACCACACAGCCTCCTTCCCACACTGCCACGGGTCAATAACACTGCAAGGTCACCCAGGGCTCTCCTTCCCTGCAACCCCCTGGCTCTGGCTACAGACACCACTGCCATGGGCAGGGAAAGAAGAGGTGTTGGAGGACAGGGGGGACATGCTGGCTCTTGGCTCTAACCTCAGACCGGAGAACAAAACGAAAACCACACACCAGGAACATCTGGGTCAGGGACTGAGGCATCACACAGCTCAGGAGGACCTGAGTGACACACGGCAAGGGTGACAACATCGGTGGGGTCCCTGCCACAGGCAGCAGCCACCGCCAGCCCCTCCCTGCTCGCCCACCGGTGCCCCATCACATCACGGAGCATTTCTCCGCCGATTGCTTCAGGTCCTCTAGCGTGGCTGAAGCTTTGTCCTTCAAGGAATCAAGGTCCAGGTTCTGGATGTTGGTGAGCTGGCCAATAACTGAGTTCTTCTCTTCCTCCTCCTCGTTGTCCTGCTCAATCATCTTGGCCAGCTCTTTGGGCAGCTCCACATCACCTCCCACCAGCTGGATCTGGTTGTCATCTGCTTCATTCTGGAACAGGCCGGGAGAAAGACAGGAGGGGAGATGTTGCAGTGGGAAGGGGTTTCTTGCTTGTGCAAGCTCCACAGCAGGGGCTTTGGGCTCTCTTCCCATTTTAAAGTCCGTGTGGGATGGTCCCTGGGGCTGAGGGTGGGATGTTGATCCAGAGTGCTGAGCAGAGCCCAGGTGCTCACAGCAAGAGCTGAGATGAAAACCCATGTGCAGCACCAGAACAAACTGGTTTGCAGCTCACATTGTGGGGGGGTTAGGCATCCAATTAAGCTACACGTATGCTTAACGACTGCTCCCACCGGCAGTCGGGATCAGCTCTGTGCCAGGAGCCACGGGGAGACTCGGGATGAGGCAGCCTGGCTGCCAAGCAGGATCAGTAATGAGCAGAAGAAACTTGTCAGAAGATGAGAAGGGACATCTCAAGCACGACAAAGCAGCGAAAGGATCGGGGCACCAGATCTGAACAAATCCCCATTCCCCCTGGAGAACAAAAAAATCTCCATCTCCTCCTTCTCTGCCTTTTCTGCCTTTTGGCAGGGGAAAAAAAGAAATTCTCCAGCTGTTTATTTCCTGGTGTTAAAAGGGGAGTGGGAAGCAGGGGGGTGGGAATCCAGGTTGGGGGAACAATGCCAAACAATCAGAACAGTCTCACTTGGTTTAGCCGACCCTTCAGAACTAATATTAGCCCAGCTCCAATCTGGAGTATTCACCACTGAGACACTCTTCCTGAATAAAGGGTGGCTTTGGGAGGAGAAGATTTTGTGGAAATTCCAAGAATAGCTGAATTATGCCTTGATTAAATTGTTCTTAGTGAATCGTTCATTGGGCGGAAATCCCAAAATTGGAGTTTGGGTGGGAGATGTTTGCCAAATAATCCAGGGAGAGGAGCTGGCTAATCCAGCTGGGAAGGTGTAACCCTGGCTCTGCTCCCAGCTCCAGGGAGCCTGGGGTGAAGGTGGCTTTCCTTCATCCAGCTGGATTTAGGGGGCAAAAGAGAGGAACAGGGGGATCAAATAAGGCCAAGGGTCCTGCTGTCTGGGGCTGGTGGTCTGCAGTGCTCAGGGGTGATGGAAAGGGGCCAAAATTTGGGGAGAAGGATGGTATTTGAGGGGAATTGGTTTGTACTGGGGTTTTGTGGCTCAAAACCTGCCCAGCTAAGGGGGTCTGCGTCCTTTTCCCTCCCCGTTCCCAGCACACCCGTACCTTGGGGAGCCTGTACTTGTCTCGGAAGTGGGACCTGACCGTGGCTCTCTCTGCCTTGCGCTGGGCAAACTGGGCATCTCTCTCCATCCTGCAAACCACACAGGGCACTTACCAACAACCCGTGCCTCCCCTCCCGGGGTTTGAGCATCCCCCCAACATCAGGACACCCCATTTTCTCTGAAAACTCCACGTTCCCCACAATTTCCTCCCCCCAGCGCAGCCTGAAAGGAGAAAACAATCCCATCTCCCGGGCGAGGAAGAGGATTAAGGGATTAGGGGGCTCATCAAACTCCCTCACGGTCCTGCTGTCCTCAACGCTCTCTCCCCCCAGCTCCCATGCGTGGGGTGGGGGCTGCAGTGGGAGCACCCCCTTTTCTCAGGG